AGTTGCCTAAATTCCCAGCCATACCTCCTGATCCACTGACCTGAGCTGCAAAAACAGGCAAGAGGGAAAGCTCAAACAATTTGGGAGAACAGAGATGGTAGAAAAGAAGCAGCAAGTGCTCCAGCAGTGCCAGTAAACAGCCACGCCAAGAGACAGAGCAGCTCTGTTTGAACTGTGAGATGCCACTTCGTGTGTAGGTGTCCTACCTGAGGTAAAACCATACCCACTGATAACGGGGAACACCTGTGCCATGCCCTACTCTTCCCTGCACTGCCCAGCACCCTACCCTCAGTTCTCGAGACTGCAGATGTGAGATGAGAGCTATCTGGTTTCCAGGAACTTTGGGGAGACGGCATCTGTTTACAGGCAGACACAATGAGGAACTCCTGTGCATCAGGGAACTTTGCAGATTGGGCCCTCGTCCAGTATATCTGGTTACCAGTTCGTCCCAAGGCTAGAAACTCAGCCCTGCCAGGCAACAGTGCCACTGGCCCTTTAAATGCACTGTCCCTCCTACACAACCTGCTACAAAGGGTATAAAAAGGCAACTGTCTGCAACCGCCTTGTTTCAACATTTGCCAAAAATCATTTTCTCTTCTACCGTTGAACCCACTGCTCCTTGCTCTCATCTGTCCCCCTGGCTCTATGCTTTGTCTTTACAGATCTGCTTCTAGTTTTCCCTAATTGAAGAATTGTTCCATTTTTTCCCCCTCTAGGTTTGGGACTCTTGCCACTATATGCTGACTCTTATTTTTAAATCTTCAGGCTTTGTTGATTTTTGTGGCACTACTGCCCTGGCTAAGCCTCAACCCATTGACTTCTGCCCATAAAATCCCTAGAGGCTAGACTTGTCCACCAGCCTTTCCAATGAGCTCAGACACTGAAGTTTCTTAGCAAATTTCTGGCTGAGGGCTCTTCAGGCCTCACCCACCCTCCTCTCAAGTAACTAGAGTACTGTCAAGTGAGTGGCTAGTAGGAAGTCTTTTGAGAAAGAGATAGAATTGCCTCTCTCTCTAAGGAACACATTTTTTCAATATGTTGGGAACCAGATGTTCTGAAGCTTCAAAACTGGCCAACTTGCTTTTAGAGCAAAAGGATTGTGTCATTGGGTATCATAAAGGCAATAACTCTTGCTCCCTCAACCCCCATCCCAGATGGTGGCTGACTGAGGTATCCATAGTCTTTTAGGAAAAACAATGGAGAACTCCTCTTGGTTGTGCACTGTTGGGAATTATGAGTGCAGAATCTGAAGTCAGACAACCTGGATTAAAATTCAGCTCTACTGCTTCCTGGCTATGGGATCTTGGAAATTATTTAACCTCTTTGTCTCAGCTTCCTCGTTTGTAGAATGGAGATGATGATACTAATAAAAGTTACCGCAAATGACTATTTTGAGTTTTAAATGAATTATTATGTATCATTAAGGTGGTCACTAATTATTAGCTACTATTAGTATTGGGCCAATTCAGAGAGACCTGGATATTTACAGGAGTAAACTTCAAGTCTACATATAACTATGTTTATATAATGATGATGAATGAGGAAGTAACTTTCTAGACGTGCTTGGGCAAATTGAATAGCTGATGAGCCTTTCAGTCTGTGTAATATTCTAGGAGTATCCCAAAAACTCCAGAATGGAATTCCCTACAGACTTCCTTGGTAGAAGAGTAATTATACAAATATGTCAATGACAGCTTACATGAGCCTAATACAATCCTGTATTAGGCTGTACAATCCTGTATAGAGATAGTCTGCTATCCCTACAGCATCTCTAAGTCAATATCAGAATAATCCCAACATTTTAAATCCCAGATCAGGTTACCAGACTTGACTTATCAATGTGGAGATCTGGATGATTCTTAAAAAGTGTTCTATCACAGAAAGGTAGGTTCTCCAGAACATCACAGATATTCAGAAGCGATTCTTATTCGACTCTTTCAGCTTCACTGTCCTGCTGATAAACTATTAAAAGAAAGGAGGAAACAACAAATGTTACTTAACAATCTTTTCTTCCCACTTCCTACCACAGAAAGTGTGGCAGATAAGGTATTGTTTCATCTGGGGCTGAGACAGCAGCCTCCTAAGTGTTCAAGAGCCGGTTCACCACTTCCTCCATCATGGACCACCCCAACCCTGCATCAATATATGGCATGCCCCCAGCAGTGTGACAGAGGCCACCCTCTGGCCAGAACACCTCTCTAAGGAAGGGATACCTGCCATTATGAGCACTTTTCAGGCAGCCCCCAACTGTGAGACCGGACCAATGCTGACTGGAAAAATTCTAAGTCTAAATACTTGGCCCTTCTTTTTGCCCCCAAGATTTTAATTCTGAATCTCTTATGTACCTAGCCTGTAAAGTTCCTGGAATACCTTTTTAACATTGCATGTGCCTGGCAGTGAAGAAGAGACCCCTTGATAGAGCAGAGGGAGATACATCAGGGGAATGACGCTGGTGAGGAACAGGTGAGAGAAGACACAGAGGAAAGAACTAGCCAGATGTGTGCCTGTGAAGATCAAATGGCTGCATTGGACAGCAGAGTTTTTCTTAGAGAATTTGATAATTTTTAAAAAATAGATGCAAACATTTCTGTAAGTGCCTAGAGATTTCTAAACACACACACACCATGATTTAAGTGTTTAGGATTACTAAATACCTTTAAGCCATTGAGTAACAGTTTTTCAATCTAAATACTTCTAGTGCCTTGTAATGTTTTCCACTTGCTCACAAGTTTCACCAAGAGCTGACATGCAAGTAGGAGCAAGTTATGGAAAGGACCACACCTGCCTAGGAAAGAAGCTAGTCCTTCATTCAGCAACAAAACAAGCTTATCATAAAAGACAACACCTGCAAAGCAAGTTGGGCTGTGTGCATACTGCAGATGCCTAACCTACCAGCTCTACTCTTCATATCTGTATGAGAGTAACTTTTAGAGTGACATTTAAAAAAGTGCTCTAACATTTGAGTCACTAGAGAAGACAGTATTGTAATTAACCTGAAAGAAAAAGATTCTCACACAGTTTAGGATAGAATGAAAATATTCTTTTCCTCATACTTTAGTGAGAATCTGAGGGTTTCTATTCTCAGCAATTCTTAAGGGCTGTTGGCATTCAGAAGTGGAGAATGACCTAGTTTCGAGGATGACTTATATAGTGTGACATGTTGCTCTTCTGGAAGAGGAAAATATACTGTAAAAAAAAAAAAAAAACCATTCAACATTATTAGGAATTACCACTGTAATGATTTGAGGCACAACAAACACATGTATGTACCTGAAATTCTCTTTTAGGAGGCTTCACATGACCTAAATCCACCCATTCACTCAACATTTATTAAGCACCTACCACATAGTAGACACTGTTTTAGGCACCAGGGATACAGCAGTGAGCCCTGTGCTTACACAGTTAACATTCTACCGAAGACAGATAGGAAATAGACAAAGGAGGAAATACATAATGTGTTTGAGGAAAAATGAAACAGGCTAAGGGGATGGGGAATGATAGCGATGCTATTTTAGAGGATAGTAGTAACAAGGATAATGAATTTAGGTCATATTCAAGGTGAGACCAGACTGAAATGAGTCAGTAATGAGACAATGTAGAGGAAGAATAGGTGCTAGACAAAGGGAATATCAAGTCCAAAGTTCCCCAAGTAGAAGCATGCTTGGCATATTTGAAGAACATCAAGGAATCGGATGATGGAGGTGAAGAGTAGTAGTCCATCCAATACATGCAGAAGTTGCCTTGGCAATGTGGCTCAGTGGATTGAGTGCCAGCCTGTGAACCAAAGGGTCACCGGTTCAATTCCCAGTCAGGGCACAGGCCTGGGATGCAGGCGGGGTCCTCGATAGGGGGTGTTTGAGAGGCAATCACACATTGATGTTTCCCTCTTTCTCCCTCCCTTCCCCTCTCTAAAAATAAATAAATAAAAAGATTAACAGTCAAAACAAATATTTATTAAAAAATACTTACAGAAGTTGCTAAGTGTCCAATCTTATAGCCCAAGGAAAGTACTTTAGATTGTAAGTATGTGGGGAAGCAAGTGGAAGATTCCTAGCAGGAAAGTTACCTGATCTGATTTACACAGAGGATCATCTGGTTCCTCTGTGACTCACGGGTTATAAGCAGCAGACTAGAAAAGCCCTTTAAGAGAGTAGTACCACAGTAATCTAGACAAGAAAAGGCAAATTGAACTAGAGTTGTAGTAGTGGAGGTGCTAGAAAGTATTCAGACATGTTTTGAATATAGAGCCAGCATGACATGCTTAGGGACCAGAGATTACGTCAAGCACCATACTTGGGGTACAGCTAGAGTCTGCCACCAGGCTTCTTGGTTTTCAATTCATCCCTCCACATGACACCAAACTCTCCTTACCCCATGGAATATCAGTGTTTAACTTAATACTGTCATGTGAACTATTCCTTTCAAGGAATATGTTTGAAGTATCCTCAATACAGAAACAGCCCACTTGGAATCTATTCCATAAACCATTAAATGCAAGCAAAAAGTGCTATATGCAAAATAGTCAGTGTTTAACATTCTGGCAACCAGTCTCTTGGACACATTCAGATATATTCAAGACAGCAATGCTATTTAGATGAGCATTATATGGATGATACATATTAATTCACAACTGTTGTGTACTAGCAGACAAGGACATCCTCTAACTGAGTGTGCATAGCTGAGAAATACTCTATTGATTTATCATTAGTCAGGAAACTTTCAAAATACTCAATGCTGTTTTTTGCTATGAATAAACATCAATCTTGTCCTTGACCTGTCAGAATGCACATTCTACCCTTCAATAAATTTAGTATTGAATACCCACTGTGTCAGGCAATACACTAGACATGGAAAGCAAAAATGAATGGTCCATTTTTTTCGACTATACAAACAAAAATGAACAAAAAAGATTTCTTAAAAACATTTTTATAAAAACCGCAGAACTACCTGTTCAAAACTACTGATCAGGTAATGCTAAACAGAACTAGATGTCTGTGGAATTGTCAGGAAAAGGTTTCCTGGATGGATGAACGTGAGTTTTAAGAAATCAGATTTGACAGGTAGAATATTCCAGGCAAGGAAAATACAGCACAGAAAAGCTAAAGAGTACAAGCAAGTAAACCACGACCACACCCAGGAGTAATGGGACTGGATTATTATTAGCTATGGGTGGAGGAGGCAATTGGAGGAAATCTGCAAACACAGCCAAGTAGTACACAACTGACAAAGGAAGAGGAATAAAAACGATAAAAACAAAGCATTTAAGTGTTTTTGTTTGTTTTGTTTTGCTGCCTGTAGTACACATTATAAACGGGTGCCACTTAACGGCAGACTTTTACATTCATACATCTCTCAACATTCATCGGTATATATGTCAACATGATTATTAAGTACTTTTAATATAAAACTTAAAAAAAAACAGGACCCACAATGTAAAAGTTTTTCAGAACAAAACTGATCGCAAGAGCCCATTATGCATCAATACATGGACAAAGGCAAGGAGAGAGGAGCAGTTTTCTATACCCTGATTTTAAGTCGGAGAAACTATGTTTTATACGGTGAGATAAAGCCTTTCAAGTGCTTATTAGCACAGTGTCTTGCCCGTAGTGGGCACTCAATTTATGGTTATTATTTTGACCTTAGATCTTTCTTAACCATTTGGGATTCTGTTTTCTCATTTGCAGAGATGGGTCACAGATGGTTTCTGAAGCTCCTTCTAGCCAATCTCCTGTTGCAAGTAGGCATCGAATAAATATTTGCTGAACAAACAGGCAAAGTAAACTGTCTTTCCTTGGGGCCTGGTTGAGTGCCCTTCGGAGAACCAGCAGGGAGGGAATATATGATCCACTTGCTAGTCCCACATGCCAGTGCTTAGGGGTAGAGAACACACTACACGCCCCTCACCTATGACCAATAGGCGGAGGTGAGCGGGTCGATTTCCCTCGCTCGCGCCCCGCCTGCGGCGAGAACACCCCACCCCAGCAGCCCCGCAGCGACCCACCTCCGCGGACGGCGCGGACACGCCCCTTCCGGCACACGCCCCTCCCGCTCGCCCCGCCCCGCCGCGAGCTAGCCACCCGGTCCTCACTGCGCCCGCCCGGGCCGCGTCCATCCTCGACGCTCTGAGGTCACCGACGGGGCTGGGCTGCGGGGGGCGGAGGGGCGGAGGGACGGAGGGAAGATGGCGGCCGCGGCCGGATATTGGCGCCGCCTCCCCCAATCCTGGAGCCGGCGCAGATGAGGCGGGTCGGCTGGGGCCAGCGGCACTTCGGAACCCGAGCTGGGGGGGACGCTGGCGGTGGGGCCTGGCCCTGCTCTATGCCGGCGCCTCGGCTAGAGTGAGCGGCAACGGCGTCGACGCGTCTTTGCTCCGGCTCTTTCCCGGTGGTTGTGAGTCCGAGCGGGTGGCGGGCGGCAGAGGCGGCGGGGCCGGGATGGAGGACGTTAACTCCAACGTGAACGCGGACCAGGAGGTGCGGAAGCTGCAGGAGCTGGTGAAGAAGCTGGAGAAGCAGAACGAACAGCTGAGGAGTCGCTCGGGAGCCGTGCAGGGCGCTGGCTCCTTCGGGCCCGGCAGCCCGGTGCGAGCCGGCACGTCCACTCCCTCCTCAGGCTCGGCGTCCCCTCGGGGCTTCCCCTTGGGCCTCGGCGTCAAGTCGACCGGCGGGGCTGGGTCGGGCCCGAGGCGGACGAGTAGCGAGGAGCTGCGAGACACCACCTCCCTGCTGGCAGCGGGCGAGGGCGGCTTGCTGGACGAGGTGGAGCCGCTGCGGCCCGAGGAGCTGGAGCGCTTGTCAGGCTGGGAAGAGGAGGAGGAGAGCTGGTGAGCGCGGGGCGCCGGGCCGGGGCTGGGCGGGGACGAGCCCGGGGGCGGAGAGCGTCTTCCGAGGGTCCCCCGGGGAGGGCACCTGGCGGGACACCTCGCTTTGTGTAGCCGGATCCGCTCTCTGACGGGGACTCGCGTGGCTTTCTCGCTTTGGCCGGGGGAGGGTCAGCTGGACTTGGAATTCGAGGAGTGCGAGAGGAAAGGATCTAGTAGCCAGTTCTCTGGGTTGTGTACCCTCTGGGTTTTGGATCCCCTTGGGGTCTGTGGGTTGGCACAGCCTGGGAAGGGCTGCTCGTCGAGGGAGGAGCCGGAGGTGGGAAACTGCTTGTAGGAAGGGATCCTGCTTTGTGTGACTGGGAATAAATACATACTGGCTTTGGGATGGTGGCCTGAGCATTTTGTGTGTCGGGGAGGGGTCTACTTAATTGAGGAGGTGTCCCCGGGAGCGGTGCAGACCTTAGTGGTCTCAGTCTGTGCAGTGGGCAGTGCTTTGGACGAGAGGGAGATGGGTGCGTTTCAGGCGGCGAAGGGGAGACCGTGTGAACCAGCACTCCCCTTTGGGCAGCAGGGTAAAGCTTGCTTTGTGTGCAGAGGGCAGAGGATGGTGCCGCTTTGTGTGAGAGTCAAGGGTGGAACAAGAGCCCTGGCTCTTATTTCTTAAACAAGCACTGGGTCTGGCCTTTTTTGAGCTGGACAGTTATCACAGCTGTCTTTCTTTTACATTTTTAAGTAGGGCTCTTGGAAAGCCAAAGCTGTATTTTCATAAGCCAACTTCTTGATACAATTGTGACCCACATGGTAATATCACTTCCATAAATAGAAAGGACATGTGAGGCAGTTACCCTCATATTTTATTGCAACCACATAAAGCTGTCTATGGGAAATTCTTTCTCTTAATTTACCCATTTATAAAGTTTTAACTTTTGGCTAAAACGTTTCTGCTCCTTGTTGAAATTGAAACTTACAAGTTAGTGAAATCGAAGTCCTTCAGGGGCTCCGATACTGCAGGACTGGAACTTTACAGAGTACCAAGGTGGTTGAGAGCTTTGCCTGGATTCAGGCCCTGTCTCTGCCATTTACTAGCTGTGTGACCTTGGGCAAGTTATTCTGAGCTTCATTTTCTTCTTCTATTTGATGGTGAAAATAATAGTTCTTAACTCTGTAGAGTTGTGAGGATTGAAAGAATCCCTGTAAGCTTTTAGTACTGGGTCTGGCATATAGTGAACTCTCCCAGACTAGCTGCTCTCACTCTTAAGCCTAGTTATTTAAATCAAGATTTCCAAGATCTTAGAAGATCCTGGGCGAGTCTAAAGATTCTTAAAAGTTGATACCTTACAGGCTTTTGGGGATCCAAGTTTTATGCAGTTAAATAACCTGGATGTATACAGTGAATTGCCAAAAAAAAAAAAAAGTGATAGGAACAAAAAGTTTTGAGAGTGCTCAAAAATTGAGAAGAAAATAATAGTCCAAAGTAGCTGAGGCAGACTTTAAGGACGGGAGGTGGCATTAGAGGGAGAGAGAGTGGGAAGGGAATTTATGCTCCAACAACTGCTAGCGCAGAGTCAGAGGTGTTTGTAACTCCTAATTAGGAAGGATTGAATTATAGAGGTACTCTTGAATATATAATGCCAAGCAAGCCTTTGTTTTATTGTCAAGTGATAAGAAATATTATTAGAACTAACTGTGATATTGACAGTTTTTTCATAGTGTCCCCCCAAAGGAATCTTGGGTATGTATACACTTTAAAAGAACCCAGAATCATCCAGATATCATCACATGCCTCTTCCAAGTGATGATGATGATGCTGTAATAATGAGGATTAGCTGCACTCATCAGCCCATTTTTAGATTATGTATTATTAGAACACATTGACTCCACTTGCAGAAGCTGATTAAGTCTTACAGCTTTGGTTTCTGAGTATAGGATTTGTTATAGTAAAGCAAGTCTTAAATACTATCCTAGAAGTTTCTTTTGACTGGGTGGTTCCTGGTTACTGCTTTGATCCTGGATACATTTCTTGATACTGTAGATATCCTGTACTTTTTGAAGAAATTTGCGTGAATTGAAACTTTGATAACTAAAGTGCTTTGGGATGTGTTGTGTTTGGAGTGTAAGTTGAAAGGGGGTGAGAGTTAGTGGCAGGGGGAGGAAGATTGAAAGAGTCAAGATTTTTCTCTTTGTAAGGTAAAAATCTACTTTCCCATAAGATACCTATTGTACCTTCTTTTTCATGTAGAGGAATTGTTTTTTTCTCCAAGTGTATACCATATAATGCCAGTTCTGAATGTGTCGGTAGATGCTGTGTGAAAAAATAGTGATGAGTCTGAGGTCAAATATATATGGGATAATCAAACAAAATAAACAAGTTTTTTTAATGCTGTACTTTTTGATATGCTAATGTGAATTGAATATAGTAAATCTCTAAGTGTTAAGGTTTCCTAAACTTCCCTGAGATCTTAAGGAACTGGTATCCATAGAACATACTTAGAAAACAGTACTCTAGAGTAGTGTTTTTTACAACTTCTTCTTCTTCTCCTTTTTTTTTTTTGCTCCAGCTTCATGACCAGAAATACATTTTGCATCATAGGCTAGTACATGTGTATGAATAGTTGAAACAAAAGTTTCATACAGCTACAGTTACTTTTAGTACTCGTGGTACCCTCTGATATTTTCTGATCTGTTTCCTTTAGGAACCAGGCCTTTTTGACATCAAAGCCTGTGCTTTTCCCACTGTTTTTTTTGTTTTTTTTTTTTTTGCTTTTTCAAGTACAATCTCTTTTCCACATGATTGACTCCTTAAAACATTTGAACTCTACTGTGTTGATCCTCTGACACCTCCCCAGAACTGTACTCAGCATTTAGATGGTACTTGACCAGACAGTGTGTGATGAATATAATTGCTTGAGCTAAGTGCTGTTATTTTGAAACCAAATATTTCATTAACAGTTTTAAATTCTGTTACTTATGCTTAATGTGAGCCTGTAGGGTCAGATACACTCTGTACCTTGTAATGATATTCCAGATTGACAATATTTTAGTTTTATTCCATTGTTTGGAGGGATAGGCCTAAACCTTTCCCAAGCTTACTATTTATCACCTTGTCTTAACTTAACTTCAGTTTCCTTTGAAGAATGTTTATTTGACCTATTTGAACAAACTATTGGCAGAAAAACAAGCTAAAGAGGAATATTTCTGCCTGCTCTTTGTCATCTGGTATCATTGTATACTTTGCTCCAGTCTTTTTGTACTAATCCTCTTAATACAATTTTTTCTCCTTAAGTTTTTATTTGTTGAGATGAAATTCACACATAATAAAATTCACATATTTAAAGTGTGATTTACTGGTTTTTTAGTATATTCATAAAGTTGTACTGCTGTTACACCACTATCGGATTCAAAACATTTTCATCATTCTCACAAAAAACTCCAACTTGTTATCAGTCACTTCCCATTCCCCCAGGCCCCAGCTCTACTTATCTACTTTCTATGTCTCAGGAATTGCCTCTTCTGCTCCTTTCATATCAGTGAAATCATATAATATGTGGCTTTTGTGTCTGGCTTATTTCATTTAGTACAGCGATATTCTTTCTTCTCTTTTCTTTAAAGATTTATTTATGTTTAGAGAGGGGAAGGGAGGGAGAAAGAGAGGGAGAGAAACATCAATGTGTGGCTGTCTCTTGTGCGCCCCCTACTGGGGACCTGGCCTGCAACCCAGGCATGTGCCCTAGACTGGGAATCGAACCTGCCACCCTTTGGTTCACAGGCCGTCATTCGATCCACTGAGTCATACCAACCAAGTCTTTATTTACTACAGCAATTTTCAACCTTTTTGACTGAATGGCACACAAATTAATTAGTAAAAATGTGTGGCATACACCAATGTATATTTTTGCTAATCTGACAAAAAAATAGGTTTGATTTTGACTTATTCACATCAGATGGCTGTTGTCTTGGCTCTTGTCATTTTTTATTTGACAGTATAAGGGAAAGGAGGTTGGTGCCCTTGACTAAACAGTCAGGTATTGCATGTTTTATTCTAATTTTTTTTTTTTATGTATTGGTTTCAGAGAGAAAGAGAGAAAGGACAGAAGGGGGAGAGACAGAGACAGGGAGATACGGAGAGGAACAGGGATTTGTTACCCCACTTATTTATGCATTCATCAGTTGACTCTTGCATGTGCCCTGACCAGTGATCAAACCCACAATCTTGGTGTACAGGGACAATGCTCTAATCAACTAAGCTAACCAGCCAGGGAGGTACTGCATGTTTTAAAAATTCTTGCAGTGCCCTGACCAGTGTGGCTCAGTTGGGTGTCCTCCCCCAAAGCAAAAGGTCGCCTGTTCAGTTCCCAGTCAGGGCACATGCCTAGCTTGCGGGTTTGGTCCCCTGTTGGGGCGTGTGTGAGAGGAACCAATTGATGTTTCTCTCTCACATCAATGTTTCTCTTTCTCTCTTCTCCTCCCCTTCTCTCTCTAAAAAATAAATAAATTTTTAAAATTAAAAAAAAAATCTTGCTGCACACTGGTTGAAAATCGCTGATTTAGTATAATGTTTCAACGTTCATCCATATTGTAGCGTGTATCATAACATTCTCTTTTTTTATTGCCATTTATGTGTGAATAATATTACCCCATTTGGTTTACCCATTTATCAGTTGATGGGCATTTGGGTTTCCATCTTTTTTGACTGTTATGAAAAATGCTGCTATCAATATTTGTGAGATTTTACATGGATATATTTTTATTTTTCTTGGGTTTATACCTACAAGTAGGATAACTAGATAAAGTGGTCACTCTATATTTAACTTTTTGAGAAATTGCCTGTTTTCCACAGTAGCTATGCCATTTTATGTTCCCACAAGCAACATAATTGTACAACTGTTCCAATTTCTGCATATCCTCACCAGTACTTGTTATTATATGTCTTTTTTTGTTATGTAGCCATTTGCTGGTATCTCATTGTGGTTCCAATTTGCATTTGCCTAATGACTAATGAT